GGTGAATTGAATTGACTTAATCATGATGTACAATGTTCATAACCTATGGTACAAAAATCTACTGTCAAGAACTTAAACACACACATACGTAGAGATGAGTGGTAGAAATGAGCTGGACAGAGAAAGAAAGACAGGGGCAGGAGCAGGCCAGAGGTGAGAACATAGCTGTAAATTAGCAGCAGTCTGATGGGCCCAGGAAGAACTGGCTGCAGTCTGAGAGAGATGCCGCACCCACTGGCCTGGGGAAGCAGACGTCCGTGTGATTGGAGAGTCGAGATCTGTGTGAACAGCATCTCAGTGAAGACATACCAGTCTTCCAGAATTTCCATTTTCCACGAGACCAAAAAAAAAAAAACCCACAAATTTTAAATGTGCAATCTCCTGATTTTTAAATGTTGTCATTAATTTAATTAAAAAAATCACATCTCTATCTTGAACTTGGTCAAAGGCACCAGTTGAAACTTGGCAGCTTAATGTTTCTGGTTATAATTATCCCTGAAAGAATTAAGTACACCTTGGGCGTTGTTAGTTTCAGTTTTAAACCATGGGCAAAGCACTAAGAGTTCAGAAACTTTCTACAAAATTCCTGTGCCCCGTAGCTAACAAATGATACTAAAAACTAGCATTCAAAAATACAATCTTGCTTCATAAGTATATAACAATCTTAACTCTGATCAAATAAAGACTTCTAATGACATGTATTATTAACAGGAATACTAATGATAATTGAGAGCTCAGCAGTTTTGTGTCTATATGGTTATTCCTGTAAGAGTTACTTTTTCTGTACTGCCAGAGAGAGGCCCCAGTCCTGAGCCAGATGTGAATGCAATATCCCCCCTTATCTGACCAAGGTAATTCCAAGAGCCCCAGGGGACATTTGAAACTGTAGAGGGTACATAACCCTACATATACTCTGCCTTTTTTCTTCCCTCTCATTCATGTCTATTAGTTTAATGTATAAATTATACAGAGTAAGAGATCTAACCACAGTAACTAATAAAATGAACAATTATAAAACATTTATTAAAATGTTCTTTAGTGGGCTGGAGCAATAGCACAGTGGTAGGGCTTCTGCCTTATGCGCGGCAGGCCCGGCCGACCCGGGTTTGATTCCTCTGCCCCTCTCAGAGAGCCTGGCAAGCTACCAAAGTATCTCGCCCACATGGCAAAGCCTGGCAAGCTACCCATGATGTATTCAATATGCAAAATACAGTAACAACAAGTCTCACAATGGAGACATTACTGGGCCTGCTCAAGCAAATTGATGAACAATGGCAGGACAGTGCTACAGTGCTATTCTTTAGTGAAGGTTATGTGAATGTGATCTCAAAATGTTCTGTGTATAATACTTTTTAAAAATAGTTGACTGAAGCCAGAGAGATAGATAGTACAATGGAAGGCAGTTGACCCAGATTCAATCCCCAGCGCCCAATATGCCTCTAAGCCCCGCCAGGAGTTATCCCTGAGCATAAAGATAGGAGTAAACCCTGAGCACACCAGGTGTGGCCCAAATGAACAAACAGCAAAGATAGTTGACTGACGATAACTGAAAACAGGTAAAGCAAAACCCTAAGTTGAGGACTGCAGTGAGTGGACTTTTGGGATTAGAGGTGGGAGATGGGAGGAACTAGCTTCTGAAGCTGAGTTCATCCCCTGGGATGCTCATGTGGCTCAGGGGAGGGCCTACAGCAGTCCCTAGTGCCCCCTTTCCCCCGCTATCCCCCGTCCCCCCCAACCCCGCAAAGACAAATGAAAAGGCTAGGTCACTGAAAAGCGAGGCTCCCTTCAGCCACTGGCCCCCAGATACCTAGTTCTGTCCAGAGGCAGTCTTGTTACACATATTTATGTCATCATAAAATGTATTTTTAGAAGAGCTGAATGCACGAGCACTCATGAGTGCACGGAACAGAAAGGCCTGATTTAGAAATGAATATTCTAGCACTTTGGGATTGAAAAGGACCAAGTTGAGCCTAGCCTGTAAGTCACAGCTTCCCTTTGTACTGTTCCTGTACAACCACCTTCCTAAAGGATAGAGAAACCTATTCTACTCAGGGCAGGTCTGCTGCTCCAGTAGTTTGGAGACAATGCTTCAGATTCAGTAATGGGGATCTGTTTTTCCCCTCATCAATCTCTGCTCTGACCTGAGAGGCCAGAGGAAACAGGTGGTCAAGTGCCCCTGTGTCAGATGGAACTTCAAATATGTGTATCAAATATGTGAAGATTTCTATTTTCACCACACCAAATCACTCATTTCTTCCTTGTTCAGGTTGGGTGGTGTCAGGGAATTAATTGTGCTGTTCCTCCTAAAAAGAATCCAACTCCTGTAGTATATCTAGAAACCCTTCCTCTTATAAGGAGGAAACCTGCTTATAAGAGGAAGGAAAAAATGTTTCTAATGTGTTGTTGGCAAAGACAATGAATAGCCTCTATTATAAGACTTGTTAGATCATATGATATCTAATATGAGAAACACTGGAGTATCATTGTAAGGTTGCTCACAGAGTACACATGATAGCTTTATCCAGGCTTTATTTTATTTTATGCTTTTTTGTCCGGGGGGCGGGGAGCACACTGCTGATGCTCAGTGCCTACTCATGGCTTAGCTTTGTGTTCAGATATCACTCCTGGCAAGGCTGAGACTATACATGGTGCTGGTGATTGAACCCAGATCTGCCACATGCAAGGCAAGTGCCCTACCCACTGCTTATCCACTCCCATCCAGGATCTCTTATTGCAAAGCAGAAACAGTGTTTGTCCTCTTTCTAAAGTGTTTTCAAGATGATCTGAAATGATAGCATATGGTACCTGAAGTTTCCATTTGTTTCAGGTTTAAAAGGATTGCAGAATGTGAGTGATGAAGACCGTCGTTGGGATTTGGGTCCAAGGCACTTCATGATTAGTTAACATGCTTATAAATTTGGGCAAGTTATTTACCTCACATGTCCAAGTCACAGTGTTATAGTAGGCTAAGTAGAACTAAGCTCCTCAATGTCAGAGGAGTCATTTCTGAAGAGTACTTAGGAACAGAGAGTAGCACTGCTCCAGTGCTTCCATTACGGTGTTGCTGCATACTCTGTCCGATAGATAGCTGGAGCATCAGAGAACTGGTGCCAAGAGTCCTCCATGCAGGATTCAACAGGAGAGAATTTTGTTCTCCCAATCAGTTAGCTTTTCTTTCAATATGTGACAAGTTCATCAGAACAACCCATATACCTTCTGACGAGCATGTGTCATCCTGAATATTAGCCCTTCCATCACAAGTTTGGAGTAAAGCAGATTTTACACAGGTGTCCCCAGTATAATGAACCAGGTCATTCCTCCCCAACACTGTCCATGTCATCACCCAGCACCGGGTGCCAGCAATCTAAGTTATTTCCCCCACAAAGCTCTGCTTCTTGAGATTTGAGCAGACCAAATGGAAGGATCAAATAGGAAAGTTATTTCTGTCTATTAGAAAAAGATGACTCATTGAAATGCCACCGTCTTTGCGTCTTTGCACGTTGCCTTTTCAGGGGTCACATGGAAGAACTTGATGTGCAGTCTTTAAGGTGCGCTGAGCTCCCATGGATGGGGTTTGACATGCAGGAAACATGATTGATGCCAGTCATTCTATTTCCTTGGCAGGGACTGAGAATAATGTGTGTCCAAAATCAAAAAGAAATTTGATTATATGTAGACTCACTCCCAGCCTCATCTGTGTCCACTGCTGTATTAATAATTCGCCCTTCTCTGAGTATGTTTCAAACTGCTGTAGGTTCTTGTTTGGAACACGTAGAAGGAACATCTACATGCCAACTCTTCATAGGCTTCTTTATCTAGGACTTACATGTCAGAGGCCTGATGGCCAGTGATTCGTTCAAATAAACAAGCAAGTCCCACAGACTCTTAAAGTCTTAAGAAAAGTTAGAGGTTCTCTGTGTAGGTTGATCTGCATTGCTGCATGGGTAGGAGAGACGCAGATTCCACCCCTGCTGTCACAGGATAACGCTTACTCAAGCCAGTTCACTGTAGGATTGTGATTCCTGCTGCTGGGATGAGAAGGGGGTGGGAGGGAGGTAGGGAGGGAGAGAGAGAGAGAGAGAGAGAGAGAGAGAGAGAGAGAGAGAGAGAGAGAGAGAGAGAGAGAGAGAGAGAGAGAGAGAGACTGCCCTAAGAGGCAGGGTGGGTGGTGATGGGGAAGTGGTTGGAGGGAAACTGGGGATATTGGTGGTGGGAAATGCACTCTGGTGAAGGGATTGGTGCTGCTGGAGCATTGACTGAAGCCCAGTCACGAAGAGCTTTGTAACTATGTATCTCACGGTGATTCAATGATAAAAACAAATTAGAAACAAACAAACAAAAAAAGACCTCAACCTGTGCGTTGTCCAACCTGTTGCGGTATTTTAGGAGTCTGAGCTCCTGATTCTCCAAAGTAACTTAGCACACCTGTAAGGTTTGGGGGGTGAGGGTAGGGATGGGGGTTGGTTATTCCGAAGTGAAATGCTGGAGCTCCCTAGCATTCTTCAAACGTTTCCTAAGTTCCGCGTCTATGGCAGAATGTGGGCACCCTGCTTTCAACAGATTTCCAGGGTGACCAGAGGGCCAGCAGCCTGGGACGTCAGAGCCGGTGGCGCACGCCTGGCAGGTGCGGAGGGCCCCGCGGGGCCGAGCGAGTCTCACGGACCCCAGAGGGTGCAAGAGGGGGCGCGGGTCACGGTGAAGGGGCTTAGCCGTTGGTGCCATTGCTGGACTCGAAGCTCAAGTTCTTCTGTGGCCGGGGCTGGCGGGTCTCGGAGTCGGAGGTGCACGGGAGACCGGTACCTGGCACACCCGGGCCGGGATCGGGGCCAACCCGCCAGCGCCGCTCCCGGCCAGCCCGCCCCGCCCGCCCGGCCCGCACTCGCTGCGCTCCTCCTCCTCCTCCTCCTCCTCCTCCTCCCTCTCTTCCTCCCCGCCTCGCTCCTCCTCTGCTCCTCCCGTCCGCCCGCGCCCCCGCCCCGCGCTCACTCCGGGCAGCCCCGGCCCAGCGTCCGCCGCCGCTGGCCCCGCACGCGCCCGGCCCCACCATGCGACCCCCGGCCGCCGCGCTGGCCCCGCCGCTGCTGTTTCTGCTGCTGCAGCTGCTGGCCCCGCGAGTCCCAGCCAGCCCCGCGCCCGACGACAAGAGAGGTAGGAGCGCCGCGCCCTCGCCCCTGGCCCCGGCCCGGCCCGGCCCCGGCCCGCGCCCTCCAGCCCCCGGCCCGCGCCCGCCCCGCGCCCAGTGCCCCGCGCCCGGCCAGCTGCCCCGAGCCCCGCGCCCCCCGCCCCCGCCGCCTTTCCTGTTTCCCGGAGGATCGGCTGCGCCCAGGCGATCGGAGGAACTGGACGTTTCCGCGCCGGGCGGGGCGACAGTGCGGGCGACAGTGCGGAGATCGATCGGCTCGAGCCCCGCGCCTCCTGCAGCGCCCGCAACTTTCTTCCTGAACTTTCCTGTCCTCGCGCGCCCGCCCCGCGAACGCCGCGGCGGGGGCCGGTCCCGCGGGGGCGCGTGTGGGGCACTGCCCCTCGGCCGGGCTGGGCGGGGACCCCGCGCGTGTGCGGCACTGTTCCTTGACCGGGCTGGGACCCCCGCGGTGTGGGGCGCTGTCCCTCGGCCGGCCTGGGCGGGGACCCAGTGGCCGGCGCGCTCTGCGCCCGGGACTCCGCGCCCCGACAGCCGTGGGAACCCGCCAGTCCCAGCTCCCGCGCCGCGCGCACATCTTTACCCGCTCGGTGGCGGCGCGGGGCGTGCTCCGGGAGCGCCGGGTCTCCCCGCACCTGTGGCGGTGCGGGGAGGGAGCCCGGGGCGCGGACCCCGGCCAGGCCGTCGCTTCCTCCCGGGTGAGCCCACGACCACGCTCAGGATGTGCGGTCACCCGCAGCCCCTCAGTCTCGGCTCTGAAACCCAGCCCCGGCCCCGCGGCCCCGCACCCCACCCCCACTGAGTTGCAGAATAGAGCTTGCTACAGGCTTCGTCCTCAAAATCTCGGTATTTTCTCCCGCGGGTGTTTCATTTAACCTTTTGAAGAATTTGACTTTAGGCCAACGAAAATATTAAACCTAATTAAGAAAAACCTAATTGATATCCATAGTTCAGGTGTGCCAAGTGTCCAGACCAAACATCAGCGAGTCTGGCTTCGTGACTACCGACCATAAACCCACTTGACATGAAAAACATGCCTCAGAAGGTTTAATTGCACAATTTCAAAATCCAGCAGCCAGAAGCCCAGAGTCAGGTCTGTGCTTGCTGCTGATGTCATTGGCACCAGGACGGGGCCTTTGGTGCTGAGAGCATTCGTGGGGGAACGTTAAACGTTAAGGTATAGAGCAATGCTTACCAAACTTTACTGCACTTTAGAATCACTTGGAATTTTCTTTTTAAAGTGGAAACTTAAGACCTTCCTCCAGACATTCTGGTTTTATTAATCTGTATTGAAATCTGTATCTTAGGATTTATTTCATTTTTTTTTTTTGAAGTTTCCGTAGTGATTCTGTTTATTGGGCAGCATGACTTGAGCATCTCTGGCTATGAAGAAAAGATCAGCCCAGTCTCCGGAAAGATTACATGCCAACATAAAGAGCTCTTTTGGAACATCTGGAGTTTGAACTAGCTTGCAAAGTATGGGAGTGAGGGGGCGGGTGATTTGAATAATAGCTGATTCCCTCGACTTGCTGAGGGAGCTGGTGGAGATCTTCGCAGCTTCCGCCTACCTGCCTGAAGGATTCCCCTCCTCTTAGCTTTGCCACTAGAGGCTGAGGTCCTTTCCCACAAGTCCCTGACAAAAGGGTCTTCTGAGGTAGGCGGCTTTTTCTCTTCTTCGTGCAGAGGCCCCTATCCTTATTTTTAACCAAACTCTTGGAGAGCCTCCAAAGCATCACTTTTCTCACTCCAGAAATATTCCAGCCCTTTGATGTTAGCCTTTGAACACTACTATTAGTGCTTGGATACTTGTTTCTAAGAAAAAAAAAAAAAGAAAAAGAAAGAAACACTACTTAATTTGCTAGCTTGCACCATATTTGCTTAAAACAGAATTCTCCTGAATAAAATAGAGCAGGTGAACAAATGTCATTTTGTTGAAGTAACATTAAAAAGGCCAGAATTTAAGGAGCAGATTTTTTTTTATTTTTTAACTTTTTAAAAATTGATTGAGGTTCTGTGATTTACAACGCTGTTAATGATGGTTTCCTGTGTACATAGTTACAACTTCATTCCCATATCGGAGTACCTACTCCCTCACCCAAGGATCTCTTTTATTGCCACCTCCCTCCCCCGCCCCCCCCCCGCCCCCCCCTCAGTTGTGTGATCATTTCTCCCATTGTATTGCCTTCGGCCCTTTGTTGCTACTTTGCTTTGTATCTTTAAGTCCCACATATGAGAGAGCCATTTTATATCTATCCCTTTTTTTCTGACTGACTTCACTCAACATGTTTCTCTAGTTACATCCATGACCAGAAATGCATGATTTTATTCATGCATACTATTTCATTGTGTATATATACTGCAACTTCTTGATCCATTCATTCATAATCGGATTTAGGTTGTTTCCATATCTTAGCTTTTGTATTAAGTGGTACGATGAACAGAGGCATGCATAGATCCATTTTGCATGTATTGAAGTAATGTTTTTGTATTTTGATAAATGCCAAAAGTGGTATTGCTGGGTCATAAGGTAAAACTATTCTTATATTTTGAGAGATCCCCATATTGATTTTTAATATATGAAGAGAGGAGAGACAGCAAATGCATCAGGTTAGTCCTGCCATGAGAAATGTAGCTGTCTGCTCTCTGTGGCCCAGATGCTATTCCAGTTCCCTGGAAGTCTCTCTATCCACCTCTTGTGGAGGGATTGTCTCCAAATCAGTAGCATACTGAGATTGCAGAGGGATGTTAAACTCGCCCATGGTCTTTGAAAAATGGAAAGATAAAAATGGAAAGATAAAGCTGTTGCTCTAGAGTACCTCAGATGGTATTCCAAAGATGCAAGAATTCTCACCCAAACTGCCTTGACCTCAACTCTGAAGATCCTCTGAAGATATTAGTGATTTAGGAAGAGAGGGCCAGTTTATGAGAAAGAAAGATTTTGAATTGTCCCCAGAACCAAGGCCTCCCTTTCTCTAGAGACAGTGCGTCTAAGGGACCTCATTCAGTCCTGATGAAACCAGGCCTGACCTCCCTTTCCTGTGCTGTGTGCAATGGCGGCAGAACTTGTGTCTTCATTTCTGAGTGCAGTGAATATTTCTTCAGTGCTTAGAGTATGCCAGACATCATGGGTTAAAAATGGACAGGAGTAAAGGTAATGGTTTCTGCTATTTCTTCCATAGTGTGAGAGATTTTTTTTTTTTAATGCCAGGCCTCAAACCCAGGGCCTCATGCACGCAAAGCATGCATTCTGCCACTGAACTACATCCTTGGCCTCCAGAGTGAGATTCATCAAGTCACCTGCTTCATATTAGCAAATTGCTTTTCAAATCTGAGAAGGAATCCTGTGGTCTGTGTCCATTGTATATTTATACCCCTGTAATGACTGCCTAGTACCTCTAGTCAATGTTTTGTATTTATTTTGTTTTGTGTTTGGTGATACACCAGTCATTTCTCAGGGGCTACTCCTGGCTCTGTGCTCAGGAATCATTCCTGACACCAGGCATCAGGGCACCAGATGTAGCGCAAGGGATTGATCACATGATAGACAGGCACGTTAACCCAGAGTTGTCTCTCTGACCTGCTTTAGTAAAGTTTTAACTGTCATTTCTGACTTCCTTCATCTTATTCTACAGTTAAAATTTATTAAGAAACTTAGTTTGAAGTTGCTGATTGCCAAAATTCATTGTACTGCATAATTAGACATGGTTCACATGATAGCATTAACATGCTTTGGAATGTTTTTCTAGGTAGTATCAGTAAATATGAAAGATTCCACCTTGTTTGAAAAGAAAATAGTCTTTGTTGTCCTTTGATCTAAGCTCCAGGACCAGCATCTAGTATCTGAAACTTTGTTGACAGAGGTGGAAAACTTACTCTAATAGTAAATTGAGGATTATGTATATTTAAAGGAAGAAATTCCTGTGTTTGTGCCCCTAGCCCTTTAATGGGATTTGGTCAGAAAGCTGGGAATCCTTATCTTGACAAATGACACTAGGAAATCACTTGAACCTTACTATGTACTTACTGTGAAAGGTGCGTGCGTGTGTGTGTGTGTGTGTGTGTGTGTGTGTGTGTGTGCGCGTGTGTGTGTGATTTTATTGAGTAGAAATATAGCACTGTTGTCCCGTTGTCCAGTTTGCTTGGACGGGCACCAGTAACGTCGCCATTCATCCCTATCACGTGCTAGGTAGCCCAATGGTGTCTGCTTGATCCAGGAATACGAAGTGAGACTTGTTACTGTTTTTGACATATCGGATACACCACGGGGAACTTGCTAGGCTCTGCTGTACGGGTGGGATACTCTCGGTAGATTGCCGGGCTCTCCGAGAAGGATGGAGGAATCGAACCTGGGTCAACAGCATGCAAGGCAAGCACCCCACCTGCTGTGCTATTGCTCTAGCCCAGACCAGAGTAGAAATATAAATGGATTTATTTATGGTGAGTTTTAGCAGTAGGAGCATGATTTAAGAAAAGGTTCTTGGTCCTTAGGGCTATGTCTATATTATTCCCCTGAAACTTCTATTCAAAAACTAGAGTCTGCTTCTTATATTCATACTGAAAAAAATTCTCTCGGGTTTCACCTATCACTTACAGAAACTTGAAATTATAATTACAAATTTTTCTTTTTGGTCTCAGTTAATTTGCACTGATTTATTGTTGAACCCTTTGCACATATGAATAGAGAATTATATTTATACTAGTTTATTTGCATAGGTCATTTTTATTTGATATCACAATTTGGGTCCATACTTCTCTTTTTTATTTTCCTCCTAAGTGCTTTTCTAAGAAAATCCCAACAGCTGGCTGAGGATCATTTGTGATTGGTCCATGCACATAAGCAGGTTAGTTTGAATCTGGGCAAGGATCCAGGCCTTGAGAATTATGTCAGATAACCGGTTTGACTGAAAATTTTTCTTTTTCAGTCATTAGAGACAGCACACTTAGATGGAGACATTTTGATAGAGATAGGTTAGTTTTCCAGAAATTCTCCTGAGCCATCTGGATGGTG